TAAATAACAACTTAGGGCTCTTTAGCTTGGAGAAACGACGACTGAGGGGTGACATGATTGAGGTTTATAAGGTTATGCATGGGAAAGAGCAGGTAGAGAAAGAGGTACTTTTCTCCCTTTCTCACAATACAAGAACTCGTGGGCACTCCATGAAATTGCTGAGCGGTCAGGTTAGAATGGATAAAAGGAAGTCCTTCTTCACCCAAAGAGTGATTAACACTTGGAATTCACTGCCACAGGAAGTTGTGGCGGCTACAAGCATGGACGGCTTCAAAAGGGAATTAGATAAGCATATGGAGCAGAGGTCCATCAGTGGCTATTAGCCACAAGGTATAGATAGGGACTCTGGGGCAAGTGATGCTCTGTCATCTTGGTGCTTTTTTGGGGGGGGGGTCAACAGTGGGAGGGCTTCTAATGTCCTGGCCCCACTGGTGGACCTCCTGATGGCACTGGTATTTCTGGCCACTGTGTGACACAGAGTGTTGGACTGGATGGGCCTTTGGCTTGATCCAACATTGGCATCTCTTATGTTCTTATGTTCTTAACTGATACATAGAAATTGCCCCAAAGATATATGGATTCTGTATTTTACTAATTTATAGTTCCATTATAGTATAAATCAATATGTATGGTGAGCCCTCGTTGCTGTTTTGTACTGTTTTTATTGTTAATATTAATTGTATTAAAATTCATACAGGTTATATTTTTAGGAATGATAGCAATCTTTCATTCTGTTTCATTGTTAATTCCTGAAGTTTATTGATAAGCAGTTTACTGAACATCGTCTCTACTTAGTTCTTTTATAGACATTGTTGTTAAAGACAACATTTCAAATAACTTGTCTATGATAGTCTGTATATAAGTGAATAGAATAAGGATAACGTCTCAGTCTTTTCTGCCTATGATACCTCCCTTCCCTTATGAATAGAAACAGCCAGCACAGCTACAAAGTTTTGTTCTCGTTAAAAGAAGAATTACCCCCTGCTTCACAACTAGCTAGGAAGCTAGTCTCAGTTAATACGTTGACTGTTGAGGGACTACTTGAAGAACCAACCTTGCTACGTCAGTGGCTCAAATACTGGCTCCTTAGAGCTGCCTGTCAGCAGACCGTCAAGAGACTAGGCCTCTTCACAGTCTCTTGTTCAAACTAAAACTTTGGTACAGGCACAAGGCCTACAGAACATGGGAAATTCCCATTCTCTGAGCCCCAATGCCAAGCTGACTCAGTAATTCAGTGGGGAATAAGGGGGGATAAGAGCCATTCACAGGTGCAGGGTGTCTCACCTGCCCTAATCATTTCAAGGCTGCCCTTAGCAACCTACACATTCCATCTTGTTAATGCAAGGACTTGTGGGGGCTTGTTAACTGGGTCTGGTGCAGCTGCAGAACATCAGAAGCTAATAGGCTGTGAGGCATAAAGGAAAGCATCCTAGCTTTGCCCTTTTAGCTCTGTTATTTCATTCTCACTGTCCCTTGCTCTTTGTTATCTATTTCTGCACATCCTTCTAATAAATCACTTTAATTCTATTTTGGCGTGTTCTTGAATTTAGGAGGCATCAATCTGAATCTGGTACTTTGGTTCGAGTTGGCTACAGCTACTGAACTAACTTGTTTCTGGAACTCACCTTGTGAGTGTACAACCTTGCAAGGTTGGTTTCTTGTTTAGACCCGGGAAGAGCTAGAGGCTTGGTTTCTGACTGTCTGGGTAGTTTAAGGCGGGGTGTCAAACATGCAGCCCAGGGGCCGGATCAAGCCCCCCCCCCCCGAGGGCTTCCATCAGGCCCGCAGTGGAACTGGCTATCTCCTGCTTCCTGTTCTGCTGCTACTCCTGCATCATAGCTTGCTTCGCCAGACTCTCTTAATCACTCAGCCACTTCATGCTTTAACCTGGGTCCCAGACTCAGAACTCTGAGCATGAGATTTCTGTGGTGAATGTGATAAATCAAAAGTAGTTTTGCAGCTTATAGAGCTAATGTTTTAAGCATGTTTAAGTTTAAAAAGCCCTTTGTGTTTACGTCCTTTATAAAGTTTATATCTCCGCTACCTGGCATTACATTTTACAACACACACGGTCTCATTTATGTCAGATCCAGCTCTCATAACAAAGGAGTTCGACACCCCTGGTCTAAGGGGCTGGTGGCAGCAGTGCCCTGAGGAGCGTGGACTCATACCTCTGCCTTTTATTTGCGCCTGCCAAACCACCCACCAAAAGCGGGCTCTGTGACTCAGAAGTTTAGCCCATCTGGCTACACTGTGGAGACAATGGGTTTGTGATGCAGAAAACCTTTCTCTCAGATGCCACTTGTGGTTTTTTCCCCCCTCTTGTTTTTTTTTTTTGGCCTCTTTGGGTCACGGGGTAGAACACTGCACGGGGCCAGAGTTATCCCAGAGGAAGCTGCATGCGGAACCTCTCATCCAAACCTTGAATGCTCCAAGCGCTGAGCACTTTCACCCCACTTCGTTCAGAACTCTGCAAGGCCGTCCGTGAAAGCAAAGCGATGTCCAGTACGGGAACAACCCAAGTATCCAAGCCCTGCTCGCTCCCAGAGACTGCGGCGGTGGCCGTTTCAACTCGCCCCTTCTTAACGAAAGCAAAACAAACCAGGACTCCCCAAGCTCACTCCTCCGTTGAATAAGAGAGGAACGTCCCTCACCCCGAGTGACTTACCCCTCAAGAGAGCCGAGGACCACAGCTGCACAGACATATCGGGGATTTTGCTGGCAAGTTGCATGGCTGGGACCACCATGTTGTTACTCTCCTAGGGACAAATGACTCTTTGTCAAAACAAGCTTGGCAGTTATACCCGCCCCCCCGCCCCCCTGCATGGAATGATCTGCCCAAGACAAACCACCATTTTGAAACCGGTCCACCAAAAATGGTATCAAACTGCTCGGGTAAGATGGTCTCAGAGGGCAGCCGTCTTGGTCTGCAGTAGAACCGCAAGATTCAAGTCCAGTAGCTTTCGAGAGTCAAAGCTATGTCTCTGACAAAGGGAGCTTGGACTCTTCTTGAAAGCTTAAAACCCAAACATCTTTTTGGTCTCTAAGGTGCTGCTGGGATGCAAATCTACCTGCTCAGTTAAGAGAACCTTTATTCCAGCAAAGGGGACATTTGCAATCCCTTTTGATAGCCAAGCCATTGCTGTGGTTGCACAATGAAGAGAAACAGGCCACCTACTTGAGCTTCCACAATAGTCAAACACGCCTCTGGTACGGAAGCAAGGCCAGAACAGTGAACCCCGTGCAGAGATGGCAAGAGACGACCTCCTCTGAGGGCTGGCTGTGGTATAGTTGCACTATCTCTCTCTGCATCGTATGATGCCATCCAGGGGTCATTTCGTAGACAAAGAGGTGCAGGAGCTTATCAGCATAACTCATTAGCATGATTTATTTGCATATGCCACACCCCCTGACATCACCGGAAGTGTGTCAGAAGGCGACACCCACCGCTCAGGCTCCACTGGACTGTTTTGGATTGCTAGCTATGGGGGGGGGGGGGAGGTGTTGGTCTGCCCCCGCG